TGCATTCAGTGGCAGTAAATTACTTTTATTATAACCACTCTTCCATTCAGTAAAAAAAAAGTATAACCATACACTTATATATATATATATATATATATATCAAAGATTGAATTAATTGAAATTCATTGAAATAAAATTTTTTTTTTTTAATGAGCGGTTTTAGTTGAATGCACTAAAATGTGAAAAATAATTTTGTTTAGCTTTTATGCTATTATTCACATACAACTAAAAGTAATATCAGGTACTGTCCTGTTATTGGAACTAGATTCAGAAATGTATGAATGTTTCTATGTATATATGTGTATGCATATACAGTATTATTATATGTGTATGTGTATACATACACATACATTCTAACACAAGGCTCTAACAATGGTGGATTTTTTAATAAAAATTTTAAGAAATCTAAGCACCTGAACATGATCATTCTTATAATGACATTTCAGTATTATCACTTTTATTCCTTAAAATTCTGTTAATGTCCTGATACAACTTTTATGTTTGGCACCCCATGATTTTATTTTTAGTTGCATATAAGCAAGGTTATTTTGATAGTTAATTCTTTTTAAATGTTTGGTGTATTTGGCTAAAACAATATAATTAATCGATTTTTTTAAAAAAATTTATGTGTTTTCAACTGTCAATGCATATATCGTATGATCAATAAAAATCATACGATTTTAAAATGGTATTATTGTCACTAATTTTTATTTGTGTTTAATATGTCCTTACAACTCATAATGGCTAAATACATGCTTCAAGAATTTTTGTTTTGGGCAAAAAATTCTTCCCTGAATACATAATAGCTGTATAAAACGCTGTCCATATATAGCAGTTATATGTTGCTATTAAATTGGATCATATTAACAATACCAAAATCTTGTGAATACTACATGTGTCACCTCAACAAATTAGAGCAATTATAGTAGGCAGAGAGAAACAATATGTTTGTTAGGTTTGAGTGCTTAATATGCTAAAGAGCCAAAACATTTTGACCATCTACTCAATAAATGCATTGCGTGACCTTTGGCCTGAAAACAATGCAACTCAACTTGACATGGATGCCACAAGTTCTTGGTAGATGACTGGAGACAGGTTGTGCCAAATGTCTAAGCAGCAGTTGCACAAAGTTGAGATATTCTGACCTAGTGATGTCTGAGCTCTAAGCTACTCAAGAATTTTTGTTTTGGGCAAAAAATTATTTTCTCAGATGAAGCTCATTTCTGCTTAATTGGATATGTGAACAAATAAAATTGTCAGTTTTGGTTTAAAAACAATCTTTAAGAGATGCACAAGAAGCCCTTGCACTTGTAAAAGGTCATTAAACGGTATAGTTTTATGGTATAGAGCAAGGTTTTTTAAACTGGGGGTTGTGGTACCTGCAGCAGGGTGTCGCCAAAAATTTTAGCAGTTTTGATATGTCTTATTATAATAATTTTACAATTACCAAATATTTTTACACAGTGTATCTGAAAATAGATAAAGATAAGACAAAGAAAAAAAACAAAAACATTTTGATGCATTCTTTTTATAATATAAACGTTCATTTTCCTTGCTTTGCACGTGATGGTGTCATTCGTCTGTTACTTATTTAAAATTTTCATGTTGTTCTATGTCTTAAAATTAGGAATTAAAGTTAATGACCTAAAACTACAGTAGTATATGATAGTACAAGTGAAAAAATTGACAGTTTCACTCACGCGTGTGTCGAATTTGCGCAATACTTATAGAGTCCTACAAAAAATTTTTAAATATTATGTTGTCCTGGGAGTCACAAAAAAATCTCAGTGATAGAAAGGGGTCGCAACTGAAAAAGTTTAAGAAACCTTGGTTTTAGTGGCATCATTGGGGCCTCTTTTTTTCCCTTAATAATTGAGTGTGGAAATACAGTGACTGATGAGTGATGTCAGTTGATGGTAACGAATTTTTGTGCTCAGATTTGGAGGACATGTTTCAACAAGACAGTAATACCACTATAGATAGTAATACCACTATCTATAGCAAAAAAAAAAAAAAAAAAAAGTGTTTGGTGAAAGGATAATTTTACAGAATAGTTAAGTTGGCCTCCCAGATTAAGTTGGCCTCCAGTTGGCTGTTAGTTGGCCTCCCAGAAGCTGGGATTTAGTGTCTTTAAATTCTTTTTATGAAGTTATCTGAAATCAGTGATTGATATAAACAAATGATAAGATTAAAATCGCAATAACAACCTTGTATTTAGTGTATATGCTAAATACGAGGTTGTTATTACAATTTTAATTGTCACATTGCCGTCTTTCTCTTCTATTATAAATAAGATATTGAACACTGCATTTGTGATATTAAATCTGAGTTATTGCATATAGTCATCAAAAATTGGGTTCATTGAATTTGCTCATGTGCACCAAGTCAAGATGAATGTGTTAAGTGCTGTTTTAGTCAGAACATAATATCATAAATTAGTAAATGTCAAAATAATATAAAATGTTTGATTGTACCTGAAGTAGTTTTTATTTTATTTCATTTTAAAATCATTTAACTTTTATTGGTGCTTCCTTTACAATTGGTTTGGTTATAATAGTGTTTAAGGAACTCGGAGCCACATTTTAGTCAGGAGATTTTCATCTCATGGTCTGTTCTAATGCCAAAAACAAGTATCAACTTTCGGGTTGTTTATTCTCCCATCAATAAAATTCCGAGTTCCATACTCAAGGACCCCATTCCGGATATGAATTCCTGGGGTATTTATAGGATTCCTTGCCAGTGTGGTTTAATTTACATTGGCCAAACTAAGAGAGCCTTAAAATTTCGCATCAAGGAACATGAGGCATATGTTAGAAAAAAGGAAACACAGAAGTCTTCTGTTGCTCAACATTGTTGGTCCGAAAATCACACTTTCAATTTTTATGCTGCCAAAATTATCCAAAAAAACATCTTCCGTTTTAGAACTGGATTTTCTAGAGGCATTTCACATTCATAAAAGTCTTTCTGTTCTAGTTAACGATCCTAATTCCAATCCAAAATTTAAAGAAATTATGTTTTAGTTCTGGTTTCACCATGGCGCCAACATTCTTGGGCCCTTGCATTATTTTATCTTGTTGGCAGTTTTGCAGTGAGGATGGTCGGTAAAACCATTAGTCCTGTGAAAATTATATAATTAACGCTTGACTTCTGAATATTAAGTATCATCTATTTAAAAAATGAAAAGTTAGCATTACCATTGAATTTTGCCATTGGCCATCTAATGATATGGTATGTGGATAATTGTGTAATATTGGCATATTTTATTTATGAAATAATATTTATTTTAATTTTTAATTTTCATAAAATTCTTGAAGTAAAATAGAGAAAATCTACTTGGCGATTATTTAGTTTTTAGAGGTTTGAATCAGTTTAATCTAGTAAGATGATGTGAGAAATTGTAAAATTAACCTATTAAACTTTTAGTAATTTGAATTTTGTTAGATAATCAAAATTTATTCTTTTTTCTTAAATTTTAGTAATATATATTTTGTTTTAATTAAAAAGTTCCATTGATCAAATATTGCAGTTGCCATGTTGAACATTCCCATTAAATTGTCAGTCAAAATTTTTACATTTCCAGCAGTCTCTTCATCAATATTTTCTGGAATTAGAACCATACTACAGATTTCGTTGTCCATTAGTTGATATATGATTGAGACATTGGCATCACAAAGGAAAACTTCTAATATATTATCATTTTCATTTATGATTATTTCTCCACAAACTCCATTACCAGAATTTTTTTTTTTTTTTTTTTCTCAAAAATCTTCAGATTTGTGGCTATCATCATTGTAAAAGAACAAAAATCAAATAGATATATTATTTACTCCCTCTGGTTTATGTGACAAAGTTAATCTTTTTTGGTACTTGCGTATTATCCCATTGACTGTGAAAGTTCAACGATGAAAACTGGTGGAGATTCCACCAAAGTTGCTGCAGGTTTCTGAAAGAATCGATGCCTCTTTATTTAGTAAACAAACAGTTTATAACCTACTTTGTTTTTATGTTTCTTAGAAAGGCCTTTATTGATTTCTGTTTTGTAAGGCCCTCTAGTTTTACTGAGAGCTCTGTTTAGGATAGTATGAATGCAGAATTTCCATGGGTAATTGTTCCAATCTATTACTGTTTTGTCAGCCATATGCTCTGCACTTTTTTGTATTCAATAGATGTTAATTCTCTCAGCTAGCTGTAAAAGAACTGGAGTGTAATCACAATTGTGATTCTACAGCCATCAAACCATGGGCAAACAAAATGCAAGAAAAATTAACACTATAACTATTAATTTATATCCTTGTTTTTTCATAAAAACAAATGTGGCTTCTTGAGAATCAATTGGGTTACATCAAATTAAAGCACAAATATTGTGGATGTGTGGTTATGTCACACTTGTTTATAATTTCCATTAAATCATGTTGCCTGGCAACAGTTGGCCAGTGATTTTTAATTCATTAGCCAGTTTTTACACACTTTAGTCAGATTTCCATTTTCCTTGTCAGATTGGATATAGAAACTAATCCCTTGAAGTTCATGATAGTGGGATTTGTCTGTAAGAAGTACACTTTATTTTCGTTATGTGATTTAAATTAAACATTTAAAAAAAATAAATTCAGAAATTAAAAAAAAAAATGAGTTTGTGCAATTTATCATAAAAATTTACCTGACTGAATATGCAGTGGCAGGATGTTGTGCTTACTGCCAAGGATCAAAAACTCAAAAAAAAAAAGGATTTCTTATTATTTTAAGTAACATAGGTATTTAAATATGTATTGTAATATAAATATGATAATATTTTATTGTGCATATGTATAAAAAATGTATAGTAATGATTATTTACTTTATATTGTTATAGGTATTTATTATATATATTTGTATAATACTTTAAACTGCAGAAAGAGTTACCATACGTTATTCAAAATACTTTGCTTCTTCTAGTTGTTTCTCTATTACATTTTAATTGAGAGAACATTTTCAAAGCTTCTTTTTTTTTTCTCTTCTGTAAGGAACTGTGCCCATGGAGATATGTGCAACAGAATGAGTATCGTGTATGGATGGGCAAAAAATGCTCCAGCAATGGAACTTCCTCCAGGTTTGTATTATTTAATAAATGACTGAATATGCTATTAATATTCGTTCAGAAAACGTATACATTTTTAACTAAAAGTTTGGCATTCTTTTTATGGAGATTTTATTATTATTTGTATAAATATGACACATATCAAATTCTATTGGCTACTAATGAAAAGAGGCATTTAAAAACTGGAATTTTTTTTATTAAAATAGATGCCAAAGAAAGTTAACTTTTGGCATCTTGTTCAAAATTGTATAGTATTTTCTTAATATCGCTGACACGAACCTAACATGAACTTATAGTTTGCCATCTTGTTCAAAATTTTATAGTATTTTCGTAATATTGCTGACACAAACCTGACTTGAATCTGCACCTTTACAAAAATTCACCAACTCGTTGACAACTTTGTGGATGTTGAGAAACATTTGTTTTGCTATTCTTATCGGTCACAGGTGCTGTTCTATATGCAGATAAAAATAAAAAAAATATTTTATATTATCCAAAAAATATTATAAGAAAAAAATATATTTGACTGATATTTACATTTTTATAACCAGAAAATAATAAAAATAATGCAGGAAATAGAATATAGTAAAGGACCATTAAATATAAATCTACCTGTATTCAAACATGTTTGTGCTATATACATGCTTGGATTGAGTTTCAAGTATTGTAACATGCATACTTGAAAATATGCATAAACTTAATAGTTTCCTTGAATTTTAAAGGTGCATATAATCAAGAAGTACCAAATTTATGTATTTTTAACTCTAATTTATTTTTTTATTTAATGAACTTTTTTATTTTGTAATCATCTTCTTGAAGCAGGAATTTTATTCCAGAGTAGAAATTATAAGTTTATTTTGAATAAAAGAAGATTCATTACTCTCATTTCAATGTGAAGTATACTTACTCACAATGAAATGATGGCTTATGAGAAAGAAAAAGCTTAAATTGCATACTTATGATATTGAGAACTCAGTTGTAATTAATAGTCAATGTAGGAAATAGCAGGCTGATCAAATGTCCATAAGGATTTTTTTATAAAGATATGTAAATAAACCCAGGGCTGTGGAGTCTGAATCGGAGTTGGGCAGATTTTGGGGTAAAAGGAGTTGGAGCTGGAGTTGCTAAAAACAGGTCGACTTAGACTCCAGTTTTTGTTAGACAGTTTGAATTTGAAATGAACTTAAAGGGAATTGAAAGAAATTAATGACAATTTGAGTTATTATTTTCTATTTTATTTGTGTATTGATAAATAAATATAAGGGAGGAGGATGGATGTGATATTTGCCATTAGTGACTAAACTGATTCATTAGTTACTTCATTTAGTTACAAATCTCACTGGCAAATTTAAGTAAGCAGCAATAGCAGCAAGAACTTTCAAAATTGATGTCATGCTTAGGAAGTAAGCAGGAAAAGGAGCAATTATTGATCTATGCTATGGCAATGCTATGGGGAAGTACATATTTAACGATATAAAGTTTGCTAGAATTAAGAACTTTTTTTAGAAGATGTAGGTAACCCTAATGGGTTGATCTTTACATTATGGTAACTTGGCGTTTTTTTGGCGAAAATTTGGCGACCAACTCTCCTACAGCAACCCTCTATTTGTTTTTTCCCGCCGCCATTTTGTCTCATGAAGTAGTAAGACATGTTTCATTTCTTTTTATCTACTGAACACTTCTTCCAACAATCTACTAGCCGAATTACACTTATGCTAGAAATTTTATCTAACAAAACTGCTTAATCATGACAAATATTCACTGCAAAATTGGGAAAAAGTGCACAATACCATACTCCTTACGTGTTTTTCAAAATAACACATACACATAAACCATGTACACGCCGACTTATTTTTACTTAAACATCCCAGAATTGCACAAAAATGGCATTGCGCACACTCTTCACTATATCCGTGTACACCGCTTTTTTCTCATAAATTAGAAAAATTTCACGGAAATACATGACAATTTTCTCAATCTTTAAACCCGGTAAAAAGAACATATATGAAATTACCTGATCGCGAAAAAGTATTTACCCTTTCCAAATATGAACATTTCCACATAAAATAAATAAAATATCCAAAAACTTTACCTCTAAATCATCTATTACATTATACACGTCACCAACGAATTCATACCGCAAGCATTATAAATACTTAGTATCAAATATTTAAATTATTTCCGTGCACGTTTACTTCAACTTAAACGTGTACCAAATTCCTACAAACATAAAATTCACAAAATAACTATCATTTAATTAAAATATCACTAAACCATGTACACATCGACTTATTTTTACTTAAAAAAACATCCCAGAATTGCACAAAAATGGCATTGCGCACACTCTTCACTATATCCATGTACACTGCTTTTTTCTCATAAATCAGAAAAATTTCACGAAAATACATGACAATTTTCTCAATCTTAAACCCGGGTAAAAAGAACATATATGAAATTACCTGATCGCGAAAAAGTATTTACCCTTTCCAAATATGAACATTTCCACATATAAAATAAATAAAATATCCAAAAACTTTTACCTCTAAATCATCTATTACATTATACACGTCACCAACGAATTCATACCGCAAGCATTACAAATACTTAGTATCAAATATTTAAATTATTTCCATGCACGTTTACTTCAACTAAAACGTATACCAAATTCCTACAAACATAAAATTCACAACTATCATTTTATTAAAATATAATTAAATTCAAAAACACTACTTAAAATATAAATGAGCACATACATTAAATTAATACATACATAAATACCCATTTCGAATTCACTTTAGTTACGGCCGTGGGATCCAAAAATTCACGAACACTGTTTCACACAACACAGAATAAAGCCAAATACAAAATTTCCAGATTTTTTCCCGATTTCCCCCCTTTTCCGATTAAAGAACAGTAATTCGTCCATTAATATCACATGACATATCCCATGATCTCTCATTTCCCTCACACAAAATAATGTGTAATCAGAACTGAGTACTGCTCACATTATTACCAAAGTCCCAGGTAGTAACCTTTATCGCTTCCAAAATGTCGCCAAACTACCAGTTACCATATTGTAAAGATCAACCCCCTAATGTTTCACTAACAAAAAGACTGTGGAATGGTCTTGCAGAATTGGAAACTCCTCTTTCTACACCGTATATAGCCATAAGAAAGCTACAATCTGAAGAATTAACTGGAGGCGAGAATGGAAAAATGTGATGTTTGTACTTTCTGAAATGGAGCGTTTATTGCAGAAGGAATCATTTCTTCAATGAAGAAAAGAGGAACTAGTTTGCTAGACAATGAGATCTTGCTAGGTTCAATATATGTAGATCCAAATCACCGAATTTTGTTGGATGATGAACAAATTAAGAATGCAAAGAAATCCATCTATGAACTTTAATTAAGAATGAAATTATTCTTAGAACAATTAGAGAATTCGAATCAGGACAGTCAAACTGCAGACATTGCAATTGAGTCTCTATCATCCTCTTCTAGTGATGAATTAGATTTTAAGAAATATTTTTGGATAATATTGAAAAGGCTAAGGCCGAATGAAAATAAAAAACAAGAGCCTTTAGATATAAAAATTTAAAAATGCAAACAAGATTTCTACATAACCTCTGAAGAAATAGAGAAATATGATTGCGCTTGCAAGACACCTACAAGACACCTATCTCTTTTAGAACTTCTAAAAATCTGTCCTGAAAAGTTAAACGAAGTAGCCGTAATAGTAACATCTCTTCCTGCTACTCCAGTCAATGTTGAAAGACTCTTCTCAGCTCCAAAGTTTATCAAATCGGATCTATTGTCCTCAAACAAAGAAGATCTTGCCGAAGCGATGTTGTTTCTTAGAAATGCCAGTTTTTCCATTTCATAATGAATGCTAATTAGTATAAATAATTTGCTATGTTATTTTTTTTTTTTTTTTTTTTTTTTTTTTCTGTAGCATCTATTACTTCTTTAATATTTGAAAAATAAGCTGTAATCCATGTGTATATGTTTACACACACACACACACATATATATATATATATGAAGGAGTTGGAGTCTTTAAAATTCCAGGAGTCACTAGGGAAAATGACTGACCTGAATAAAACAAATGAGATCATGTGGTTGGTTTCTGTGACTACTAAGGTCAAGAATGGGGAGATTTCTCTTTCCTGTCTTATTTAGTGGGGCAAATATTGTTTAAATCACATTTTATCTGGTGGATGATTGTAACAATCATTTGTACATGTTAATTGTTCCATGCAGTGTTGTGTAAAAGGCTATTGAATTAAAGTACATTGTTGATATCACTTGGTATAATAGGTATAAAGATTCACTTGCAGGGATATTTAACATACTCTGGAAGATATGCAATATAAATATTTTGGTAAGATTGTGTTTCTTGCTGTCCGCGAATTGTTAATGTCGCTCATACGTTATCTTGTTAGAGCAGTGGTTCTCAACCTTTTTTGCCCCATACATCTCTTTCACCATTGCTAGACAATTATTCTGAACCCTTCTTTTCCAAAACTTGAGAAATATATATACATTTATTCAAATTTAGATTATGTTTGATGTGTTTTATAAATTAAACAAGAAAAAGTACAGTCAAAAGTCGTTAATCCGGACTTGTCGGGACTTCGGCGATTCCGGATTATCGATTTTTCCGGATTATAGATCATCAGTTTAAATCTGGTAAGATGGCATGCAGAAATTACAAAATTAAAAATATGAAACCGTAATTTACGAAATAAAGAACAATTATGATCTAAAGGGTATCAAAATTTACAAAAAGAAAAAGCTTAATATTTATTGGTTTACTTTATTAAACAATTTTTTCACTGTAAGTTGTTTAAGTTGCTTCGTTTCATGAGATAATACTTTCTCTTTAATTCTATTAAACAGACATAATTTCTTGTTTAGTTACAAAGTTCCACTATTCAAGTCCTATAATTGCTGTGTCGAGATTACCGACTAATTTGTCAATCGAAATTTTTTCGTTTTCAATAACCTCTGTC